TTTGTATGGATCACTGCATCTACCATGAACCAGAAAGCTCCAGCACTCTGCCAATATGCAGGCATGCACGACTGCTGTCGCACAGGCCTCGTTGTCGCTTTGAGGAAAACCGCTACTCCTGATCTCCAAGCAGACTGCTTGGCCTACTTGTCTTATAGAGGGGGCTGCTTACCTGCAGCACTATTGAGGATCGCAGTCCAGCCGTTCAGCCACTTCCCTGGCCCTGGGTATTCTTTCTGCAAGCCACTCAGAAGCGCAGGGCGGTCGTCTTTGGGCGTCCCTCTCCAGCGTGCCAAGGAGAGCTGCTCCTTTGCCAGGTAGTCTAGCAGGTCGGGGTCAATGTCAGGATCGAAATCCTGCCAGCTCTTCTTCCAAGCCAGCTCTTTCTCCTGCAGTGGGAAGACAACAAATATCAGCACCACGATGTGTAGCCCGCTCTATAGCAGCATATCAATCAGGAAGAATACAGAGTTGCTCCCTGATGCCTGATACAACTAGCGCTGAACGGTCCCACCCTGCAATGCAAAGATCCCCTTGTCCACGCTTACCTCCTGCGAAGTGGGCCCAGGGTTGCTTTCCACCCCACCCCTCAGTAAAAGTGTCGCTGCACATGAGGAGACCTCGTTCAGGTGCCGCATGTCTGACAAAGCTGAACTCATCTTGTGCCAACGAGAGACCTCCGAGCAAGTCAGTCAAACTGCCACGGCAAGTTGAGGGTCAAGCGTCCACAAAATCTGCAGAATCGGCCCGACCGCGCTTGAAGTACTTGCAGACTCAGCACTGCAACCCAAGTGCCTTACCTATCAGCGACCGGCTCTTAGGCATGGACACCCAGTCGGTCGTGCTGCCCGACTCTTGCCCAGCCGCAAAGGCTGGCGCGCTGGGTGCATCTGCGATCAGGAACGCATCACAGATCAGCCCAGGTGGCGGAAGACCCACCGCGCATCGAAGGCATGAAGAGGTGCTCACAGCCCCCCAGGTTTGCACAAGAGCGAACGCATCCGACCTGCCCAGCCGATGCGGCCGCTCACCTTCCGTGGCCCCTCCCAGATCCCGCAGCTCTTGCTCAAGTCTCCTCAGCTTTGCTTTCAGGCGGCGCAGCTCCTGGTCTGCTGCCCACGCTGCAGGAGCATACGGAGCATGTACACCTTTCGAACCAGTCACTTCCATAAGTTCATTGCTGAACAAGAGGAGAGCAGCTATGACCTTGCATAAGATCTAAACCCTATCAACAGCAGGCTTCCTAAACTGCTCTCACCTGCGCGGTCTCGGTCAATCT